TCCAGGCTGTGGGGAGGGTTAATTATTTTATTGTCCTGTTTATCACTTTAAATTCCCCTCTACTAAAATCTGTATCTTCTGGGACTAGTGCTATAATACTTTGTCCTCTCTTTCTTTTAGACCCCCTGGAGGATCTCCCCCTTTGATTTCACGTTACATATTAGTTCATTCCAATACAATAAGCCTTGCCACTCTCACTCACCTTCCCATCGTCTTCTCTTTTCTGTGAGGCGGCTTCAGGCTTTTCCTTCTGGGGGCTGTGATTCTCAACAGCCCCTCCGCTTCTTAATGCTGCTTTTCTTGCTTAGGGGGAGATTCCTCCCGCTGGGTCTCGTCCCTGGTCATACAAGTCCCCTGTGCTCAAGGAAAAACCGGCGTCTCCCTCCGCCTGGGAATGCCGGCCGGCTTCTCCTCCTCCCGACGCTCCTTTACGGTTGGTCACGTGGCCGCCTCACGTGGGCACTCCAGGCACTGTCCCACAAAGGCCTAACCTCCCCCCCTTATTTTCTTCCTTACTCAGTCTTACTCCATCTTGCTCCTCTGTCATTCTAGTGGCTTATTTATGCACTGTTTGGCATGTTTCCTTTCCCAGTAGAGGCGCTCATTTATTTTAACATTCCTCATTGGACTCATCAGAACTCCTATCCCTTGTGTTGGATATGGAGTCTGCAGCACTCCATGGCTCAAATCGCTTATGCTTTGTCTCATACTGCTGTGCTGTGGTATATCTCCAAAATGCCTCTGTTTACCCAACTGTTTTGAGTGACATTCCTGTGTTTCTGTATGCATTGTACTGAAAAACAATTAAAAACCAATAAATTGTTTGTGAAACAAAGGTGTTTCTTTCAATTGTGTCCTGGACTCAGCGATAGACTTCACCTCTGATAAATCACCAATTTAAGGTAATTTCTGCCTGCTGCTTGCAACAATCTTTTGCTTGTTTGCTGACCATTTCTCTGCCTGCCACCTTAACTGACCCATCAGCACATCCAACTGACTATGTTCCTGTGAGACACCAGTCCCAGCCATCCCCTGTGGACAACTGCACTGGAATCACATGAACTCTTTTGTTCCTTTCTTTGCCTTAATGTACTTCCTTGCCAGGGACAGCCGTGTAGTAGTAGGCCAGGTTTGCTTGGCTTATAGGAACAGGGACTGCTATAGGTCACACTTCAGTGTCAAACACAAGGCCTGCAGGCTGAATTAAGCTTGTCAGGCCATTTCATTTGGCCCTTGCACCACACCACCCCTGCAGCTGCGGTAACTCCCTCTTGTTCGCCCCTGACTTTTTAAGCAGTCAGCAGCAAAGAGGACAGAACTCCAGCTTATAGATCTTCTGTCTTCCCTCATCTAAGCAAACTCTGGCAGCTTACTGCAGCCCTTCTCTAGTCCTCCTTCGGATCTTGCACTTTTTGCTTCCCAGCTCCACCCCTAGCTTTTTCCAGGTAGCAGCACAGGATTTGGGGGGGGGGGGGGGGGGGGGACAGCTAAGAAGCCAATTGTCCCATTACTTTTGGTCCCTTAACAAGTGGGAGGCACATATGCAAACTGTTGTAATTCCTACACCGTTCGTGACAGTCTGCAGTTAAAGCACATCTTGTTCGTTTCATTTTTAAATCCATTGTGGTGGTGTATAGAGCCAAAAATGTTAGAATTGTGTCGATGTCCCAATATTTATGGACCTGACTGTACATTTTAAACTAAATGTTCTGCCTTAACCACTTGACCTCCACAAGGTTTTAACCCCTTCATGACCAGACCTTTTTTTTTTTTGCTAGTCATAACTGTACTCCTTTAACTGGCAATTGCTTGGTCATGCAACTCTGTATCCAAATTCAATTTTTATTTTTTTTCCCCTCACAGATTTCTTTTGGTGGTAGTTTATCACCACTGGGTTTTTTCGCTATATAAAATGAAAAAATACTGAAAATTTTTAAAACAACTAAAATGCTTTTTAATTTCTGTTATACAATTTTACAAATACATTTTCCTTCATAAATTTAGGCCAAAATGCATTCTGCTACATTTCTTTGGTAAATTTAACCCAAATCAGTGAATATTATTTAGTCTGTGTGAAAGGTAGAGCGTTTACAAACTATTGGACATATATTTCAAAACTGATCAATTCTGAAGTACTGTCGACCTATCTCATTTCTTCAGGCCCTAAAATACCAGGAGAGTACATATACCCCCTAAATGACAGTCCAAGGCATTTAGTAAGAGGCATTAGTTTTTTTTTTTAAGTTGTAATTTTTTTTTTAATTTTTTGTAAAAAGAAAAAAACAAAAAAGTTTTTATTCTTTTTTACATACTGGCACCAATAAATATATATAAAACATGCATTCCCTTAACCACTTGCCTACAGGGCACTTATACCCCCTTCCTGCCCAATTTCCAGCTTTCAGCACTGTCACGCTTTGAATGACAATTGCGCGGTCATGCAACACTGTACCCATATGAAATTTTTACCATTTTTTTCTGGCACTGGCAGGTGGCATGGATGAGCACCGACAGCTGGCACTGATGGACACTGACAGGTGGCACTGCTGGGGCTACACAGATCATCAGGGCACACTGATCATCAGTGCCCTGATGATCAGTGTAGATGTCCCCTCTGAGGAATGCAGATTACCGGCTCTCCTCTCGAGCTGTCAGCGTGACAGCTCGTGAGGAGAGAAATGCCGATAACCGGCATTTCCCTATTTACATGCGATCAGCTGTGATTGGACATCTTTGGCTCTTTCTGTTGATCGGTGATCCGCTGTGTCCGAGGGACACAGCGCACCGCCGTTCGCCGCGCCGGTTAGAATGCCACGCATGCGTGGTTAGAATGGGAGGACGTCATATGATGTCCTCCCAGACAGAACGAGAGCCTTGCATCTGTCATTTTACTATATGGCAGGCGGGAGGCGGTTAAAGCAGTTCAGCGTCACCACAGTAATACTGTACTACTCTGGGAGGGGTGGAGGGAATAAGGGATGGCTTTTTTTTTTTGTAAACACAATTATTGCTTAAAACAGTGAATGGAGTAAAATTCATGACAGCTTAGTTACTGTTGACATGCTGTATTTAGCTACAGCTAATCACATTGTACAGGTATACAGGTGCCATGTGATAGCTGCGAGTCAATCACAGCTTCACAACACTAGGCAAGCAGTCATTAATGACCGCTATGACCAATCATGAGCAGCCCAGGGGGCATGCTAGTGCGCATGTGCAGGATGACGAACAAGTACATCACCCAACCTGGCAGTGCCGCCCATCTATAGTATAACTACAGTGGGCAGGTGGCAAGTGGTTAATTGATGCTTACAGTGTAAAACATCCTCTAATGCTGGGTGTCCTACGTGTGTGGATGTTGCTGCATTAAGTAAAAATACTAGTTTAGTTTTTTGATATTTTAGAATGAGGTGCCTCAAGATTATGATCATTTTAAAAGGTGCCTTGACTGAAAAAAAGGTTGAGAAACACTGGTCTAAAACTCTACCTACTGCAAACAGAAACGTCGTCAGTGAAGTGAAAGCAGATTGGTTACTTTGTGTTACTGTACTTAATCATCTCTGCTCCTTGCACTGCCTCATATAATAAGTCCATGAGTGTGCTAATAACTGCAAACAAGCACAAAACAAGCGGCTCAGAAATGACTAGTTTATCCTCATACTTCAGCTCAGATATTTTGTAATATAAGTCAACCTATTTCCCAAGGGTGTATGGTTAAAATCAACCACAGTATGAAAACACAATCCACACTGTGCTTTTGTAGAAATGACAGGAAGCTTTGTGTTACTTGTAAAGTTTGATGTTTATTATACCAAAATGACAACACTTTCATCTGTGCATTCTGCATTGATATAACTCCGGGTAGGTTGAATCTAAATGAGCTTTGTACAATCATGCTGGATTGTGGTGGCAGCAATACAGAACACATTCAGGAGAGAGAAGGGGGGGGGGGGGGGGGGGGGGGGGGGGGGGGGGGAAAAAAAAAAAACGAAAACAAAAAAAGGGAAAACATGGTCCAGCAGATAATGCTCCATTTCATTTTTTTTCTTTCAATTTTTCAAGAAAAATCACATTTTTCACCACAGCCATTCAGATCAACTGTGACTTGATTGCTGTATAAACAAAAAAAATAAACCCTTCGATTTTACCCTTTTGATACTGTTTGTGCCTTCACAAAGCTAAAAAATATATTAAATTTACCCAGTAATGCTCACATTGGTTGAGAAAGATACTCTGGTCATGGATCTCCAGCAAAGAAAATCCTTCTGATAGCTGCAGCACCACAGAGTATATCATAATGAACACTATACAATACATAAGCTATATACATTAACCCTTAAATTGCTGGAAGGAAATGCCTGAGGTAACCAGACAGCTCCTGCCAGCAGCAAAAGAGCCGAAATGTCCTAATCAACTGTTCTCTCAGAGAAAATTAGTGAAACTCCGTGATTTTTAAGTCACTGGAAAGAGTAAGCAACTCCTAAGAGTTAAGTCATATTGTTCTACAAATATCTAGCACGTCCCATGGTCCATCTCTACACAGAAGTTTGTGTCTCCACTTCCACAAGGCATTTTAGGTTACAAGTCTTTAGCTTTGCCAGACACTGTTGCGCTTCAAAATTAAACAAAACTATTTTTGTTTCTTAAAAAATATTACAAATCTGTATTATTTGTATCTCTGTAATATATTAAACTTTTTTTCATCAAAACCTCTCTTCAAACTTTAATTTCCTTAAACATGATATGTTATGGAAAACAGCGATTAAAAGTTGGTTGTTAAAGCATCTGTAGAAGGATGGTGGTTAGTTAAAAAAAGGAAGGGAGAAAGTAATGAAGTAGTAAAGAAGTGAAAAATAGGAAGATTACATTATTTAAAAAGGAAGATGAGCAGATGCTTAAAGAAAGAAAAAAAGGTACCTAAAATTTGCTGTCCTCATAATTGGAAGAGTGGAGGAAGCTCAAAAGTTCAGTTAAAATGGAGTCACTCAGGAATTAAAGTGTCATAGTGGTGTATCATAGTAGTCTGGTAATTGGTCCATTTGATACTGTCTATGCTGCTGAAGTTGCAGCTGTTGCTGCTGTTCCTGATGTTGCTTCATAATCTCCTTTACTTCCTCCTCAAGTTCAGGAGGTATAATAAACTGATCATCAGGATCTGGCTGCGCTGGTGCTGCAAAATAGCCTCCCGTTTTTCGTAAAGGTGCATCTGCAGCAATCTCAATTAGATTATGACTTCTCTCTGATGGTGCTACAGAGCCATTACCTCTCCTCTGACGACCAAGAGTGTTGGAAGAAAAGTCCTGTCTCCTGACTAAGCCTCCCAGGTCATCCTCATTAGCGCTTACAACAATGCCCTCATCAGTGGGCTCTAAGACAGTGCAGGTAGGTGCAGGCTGCCCACCATTTCTAAATCGCGAGCAATGAATGTCCACTTCCACCTCAACTCGACTTCCATTGGAAAAAACTCCTTCAATAGGTTCCTCATCTTCACTGTCAAGACCATTGTCTGAAAAGGCACTGGAGAAAGTGGCACTGGATAGTTGTCGCTGAAAAGCGCTAGAAAGACATACAGGATGTAATGTACAGCGCTGTTCACTCGGGCATCCTGCTGGGCCAACTCCATTCTCATGAAGTGAAACTGCAGGAGGTTCATCAGAGGCTGTGGACCCAACTTCACTGCTCATCTCAGAGGTGGATATCTCACTGCTGATTTCAGAAGCCAGGCCACTGCTAGAAGATGGCATGCCTAAGCTGTCTTGGGCACGGTCCTTAATAACATTGACAGAAGGTGTGAAGATTCCAGGGCTGGGTGGTGGAATTCCACCATTCAGTTCGCAACAGCAGAAGCAGTCTTCTGCAACATTCAGCTGCACAACTACAGCACATATGCTCCCGCTGCAGCCATAACTCTGTGCCAAGCTGCATAACTTCTTGGAAGCAGCCAGGGCATCTGGCACATTTCGTATCGTCTCAACAGCTTCTTCCTCCGAGATGCTATCCCATAATCCCTTACTTCCAAGAATGAAGAATTCATCTTGAGGTGTTAAAGAAACTGACTGAACATAAGGCCTTGGAGTAACACTAGGATGGAGAAATGTGTATCCCAAAATACGTGTACAGTCAGTCACTCCGTTTACTTTACCATCCTGCAGGAGAACACAGTTATTCAGTGTTATTTAAAATGAACTAATAACTATACACGGTATAATACAGTGAACAGATTTACTACATTATTTTCATCACTTGTGCAGAAATATCACAAATGCAAAGAACTTGTTAGTTCATATTAATTCATAACAAAAAGTGGTTACCTCATGTTATCTTATCAACATCCAAATTTATGTACAGTAGGAATCAATTTACAAAGGTTACCTTAGGATAACTGTGAAGCCCAATAATCAGTCTACCTACAGCCTCAGGAAAACCACCAATTCATTAGATAAGATTCCAAAAAATAGGGTATTTGTACTCACTGTAAAATCATTTTCTTGCAGTCTATTTAGAGACATGGGAATTCAGGACTGCTGCATACAGAATAAGGACAAAAGGCAAAATAAAAATTGTAGGTCAGCCCTACAATAGCCCCTACTTTACACAGCATGCCTCAGTTGTAGAAAGCAAAACCAAGAGCATGCCAAACAGAGTAGTGCGAATGGTGTCCCTCACTGGACTGCAAGAAAAATGATAATGTTATTTCTCCTGGAGCACAGTACAGGACACAGCCTCCTTTAAACCACTGTGACTATATGAAGCTACCTTCAGGTTACTGAAAACTAGCAAAAAAAAGAAAGACTACAAGGACATCCCCCTAAATAACCCCTCCCACTCCAGGTAACCTCAGTTTTGTGACAAGCAATGAGAAGATCAGGAGGGGAGGGTCATGTGCTCTGTACACCAGGAAACCGATTTTACTGGTCGTTTTAAAGAAGGAATTTTGACTTGCCTATAAATCGCGTATCTTGGAGTACAGTTGCAAGAAAAAGTATGTGAACCCCTTGGGATTACGTGGAGTTTTGCATGAATTGCGCATAAAATGTGCTCTGAACGTCATCTAAGTCACAACAATAGAAGAACACAGTCTGCTGAACATAATACTACACAAACATTAGATGTTGCCATGGTTTAATTGCACATAACATGTAAACATTCACAGTGCAGGGAGGAAAAAGTATGTGAACCTTTGGACCTAATAACTGGTTGACCCTCCTTTGGCAGCAATAACCTCAACCAAACGTTTCCTGTAGTTGCAGATCAGACCTGCACATTGATCTGGAGTCATTTTGGACCACTCCTCTTCGCAAAACTGTTTCAGTGTAGCAATATTCTTGGGATGTCTGGTGTGAATCGCTCTCTTAAGGTCATGCCACAGCATTTCAATCGGGTTGAGGTTAGGACTCCGACTGGGCCACTCCAAAAGGCGTATTCTGTGCTGTTGCAGCCATTGTTTTGTTGAATTACCTGTATGCTTTGGGTCATTGTCCTGTTGCATCACCCATCCTCTGCAGAGCTTCAGTTGGCGGACAGATGGTTGTACGTTTTCCTGCAAAATGTCTTGATAAACTCTGGAATTCATTTTCCCATCAATGACAACAATCCGTCCAGGCCCTGAGGCAGCAAAGCAGCCCCAAACCATGATGCTCCCTTCGCCATGTTTTACAGTGGGGATGAGGTTTTGATGTTGGTGTGCTGGGCCTTTTTTTCTCCACACATAGTGTTGTGTGTTCTTCCCAAACAACTCAATCTTGGTTTCATCTGTCCACAGTATATTTTGCCAGTAGTGCTGTGGAACATCCAGGTGCTCTTTTGCTAACTTCAAACGTGCTGCAATATTCTTTTCGGACAGCAATGGCTTCCTCTGTGGTGTCCTCCCATGTACTCCATTCTTGTTTAATGTTTTCCTTATTGTAGATGTGTCAACAAAAATGTTAGCATGTGCCAGAGATTTCTGTAGGTCTTTAGCTGACACTCTGGGATTCTTCTTTACCTCATGCAGCATTCTGCGCTGTGCTCTTGCAGACATTTTTACAGGACGACCACGCCTAGGGAGAGTAGCAACAGTGCTAAACTTTCTCCATTTGTAGACAGTCTGTCTTACCGTGGACACATGAACATCAAGGCTTTTGGAGATACTTTTGTAACCCTTTCCAGCTTCATGCAAGTCAACAATTCTTGATCGTAGGTCTTCTGAGAGCTCTTTTCTGCGAGGCATGGTTCACATCAGACAGTGCTTCTTGAAACCAGTAAACCCAAAACAGGTGTGTGTTTTTTAAGGGCAGGACAGCTGTCAGCAACACATCCAATATCATCACATTGATTGGAGTCAAGGTTGGCTCACTCCTGGCTCCAATTAGCTCTGGGAGAAGTCATTAAGCTAGGGCCTCACATACTTTTTCCTCCCTGCACTGTGAATGTTTACATGTTATGTGCAATTAAACCATGGCAACATCTAATGTTTGTGTAGTATTATGTTCAGCAGACTGTGTTCTTCTATTGTTGTGACTTAGATGATGTTTAGAGCACATTTAATGCCCAATTCATGCAAACTTCCACGTAATCCCAAGGGGTTCACATACTTTTTCTTGCAACTGTACACTATAGACTATAGGCTGGAAACATATAGACCTTGGGTTATAGGCTGCTACCTTTAGGTGATTGAACACTGGAAAGATTTTGGACATACCCCTGGTAGTACCCTATAATTCTTCCCCCACTTTTTCAGACTTTGGGTTTTCTCAGCAAGCAATGCAGAGTAACACAAAAAGAGGGGAGGGTGGTTTGCATCCTTTACTTCAAAATATGAAAGTTACAGGCAAGTCAAATTTCCCTTTATCCTAGTCATACAGTACTGGACAAAGGATGGATATTCATAGACCCCGAGATGTCCCAAGCAATGAAACAGAGGAGTGGGAAACAGCAAGACAAAAGTCAAGGACCCAAGCCAGGGTGCTGCTGAAAGTGCCCTGGTGGATTAAGCCTGTATCCACAGAGGCCTGAACATCCACCTTGGAGAAGGTATGATCAAACCATGGCCTTACAAAGCTGGATAACGGATGTTTGATGTTGGAACACCCAGGAAACCCTCCCTGATCTGGTGCAGTGAGCATGTAAGGGTACAGAAAGTACCTTATCCTTTTAGCTGTCTTAAAGCAACCACATCCAGACAATGGAGAGAAATTAATTGGGTGCTTAGGAGCAGGGCATAAAGAAAGAAGGACAATATCTTCATTGAGAGAGCTGATGCCAGCTCAGGTTGGAAGGAGGGTCTTGGTACAAGACTACTTTATTCTTATTAAGAATCAGGAGAGCTCCTTACAAGAGGAAGTTGCTAACACTGAAACTCATCTGACAGATGGGATAGCCACTTTCCATGTCTCTTTGCAGAAGAGAACTCCCAAGGGGAGACTAATGGGTTCAAACGGTGATTAATGCAGTGCAGAGATAACCAACCGGATAGCCCAAGGAAGCAAAGTGTGCTGATCCATCGGAGAACTTAAATAAAGGTTTTGTTAAGAGAAATTAAAGCCAAAAGGTTTCTGGATTAAAATATACAATGCTGAAACCTGTCCCTTAAAGAGTATTTAAAGTCAAGTTCTGTTGAGGTCCCGACTGTAGACCAGAATGTCAAGTACCGAATAATGTCTGGGGTTGAAATGCCTGTGTTCACACCAGGCGAAAAAAGATTAAGCATAATGAGGGAATGGCAGTCAGATATACCCCTGTCCAAGAGCCCCGCCCCCCACCCCAATGTCCCAGTTAAAAAAAAAAAAAAAGTGGTCGTGCGCGGCTCCGCCCACCCAGCCATGTCACTCATTCACATCATTCTCTAAATGAGACTGCAAGTCCCAGCAGCCTTCGTGACTGTCAGCTTGTAGTCCTCAATGAACTACCACGGCACTGTGGAGCGCTGTAGTAGTTAATTGATTCTTCCTGTCAGTATATCTGCTTGCTCATACATCCCGTATGAGGAAGCAGATATTATGACATATCTGCATTATTTTTTACTAAAAGGTGAACGTATCCTTTAAGACAGCAAGTCTGGCCTGTTTGAAAAAGGACAGGGGTTGTTTCCTAGCAGTTTGTGTACCAAATTTTTTGGGCCATTTTGACAACGCTAACAATGGATTTCTTCGCTATCTATTTTGCGGAGCAGTCAAGGAAGAATCTGCACTGGAAGTCCTATAATAACCTGAACAATGTTCATGGGATTGCCAGAGCATCCTATGCGAGTGCTAGAGGATCCTTGGTCCTGGCTACAAACAGGGGTAATTTATTGTTGAACTTGAAAGCCAGGATATCCACATTGAGTCCCCCATTTCCAACATAGGATACTGAAGATGTCAGGATGAAAGGACCATTCCTTTTAGTCCAGGCAGTGATAACTGAGCAACTCCACCCTTTAATTGTCCACTCCTAGGGCGTTAAACAGCAGAGATTGTTGATCAGTGTTTCCCCATCCTGGAGATGATCAGACTTACTTCCTTCAAGGTTGGCTGGCTTCTAGTACCCCCTGAAGATGGATATAGCTCACTTTTTGTGGCATTGCTGATTGCACCCTGATTGGGTGTCCTTGAAGAGGGGTTCATTGATGCAAAGCTAATTTTATTGCACCAAGTTCCAGGATGTTGATGTGGGGCTTTGCTTCCGTGGGAGACTAGGTTCCGTGAACTGTGAGAGATTGGAAAACTACTCCCCAGCCTGTGAAACTGGCATCTGTAGTCACCACCTTCCATGAGTGTGGAAAAAAAAAAAAAAATAAAAAAATCAGATTTCCAAGGTGGGATTGGAAATTCACCAAGTTAGAGAGTTCCTTGCTTGACTGGAAAGAAGCGTAAAGAGGTCCAGAGAAGCAGTGCATTTATTCCATTCTAACAGAATGCTGTGTTAAAGAAGCCTTAAGTGGAACTGAGTAAAGGCTACCAGGAGGCTCAGGAATCTCTTTGAGGGATGTCGTTTGATCCTAAATTCCAAGCATGATATCTTAGAAATACAAGCTTGTTTGAAGGAAAAAAAATTATGCCCGGGCCATGCTTAGAATGTGGTGCAAGTATTCTAGAGGAATGGCTGTAGGGAAGACTTTTACAAGCTGACTACCCAACAGAAAGCATAAGAATTTGAATAGCCCTATGGACATTTGCAGATAGTTTTG